ATGCTTCTGTTTGGGGTCAGCATTGCCTGCCAAAACGTTTTATGATCTTTATTTCAAATGTCTTGTTTTGGGTCAGCATTGCCTGCCAAAACGTTTACTAGTATATGATCTTTAATAATAAAATGCTATGCTTGTTTTGGGGTTAGTATTGCCTGTCAAAACGATAATTATCTTTATTTCATCTTATTACAACCTTATCTTGTTTTGGGTGAGTATTGCCAGCCAAAACGTTTATGATCTTTCTTTCGTACGATTGGGGTCTATATTGCCGATGCTGTCTTTACACATTATTCAGACTGTCAATGTGGACATTTGATAGGCTACCATTAAATCATTTTTTAAATTTTATGGCTCGGTTTAACTTCCTGTATGTATACATGAATTGTTCGTAAATCATGTTATGGTTTTTAATGTTGCCTATTTAATTCAAGTTCGTAATTATTCAAATTATATATATATATATATATATATAAAAGGACTTTATGGTTTATCCCAATAATGTTCTAAATGCTATGGTCTTTAGAGGTAAACCCATCACAGACTAAAGTTTTTATATTTAACTAAACTGGTTATTAATTAAATGGGTTTTTCTCTTTCGAAAAAAAAAATTAGAGTATGTGTCAAAAGTTATAGATATTTACTCGGTTAAAATTTACATCATTTAACTTTCATCATGTTCATCGCAAGGTAAATGAAAATTAGAAGAAAAATCACTAAAAGCTGGAATATTATTTCAAAGATATTTTTCATTTTACAACTTTATTACGACCATATACAATATAAACCTTTTAAAATGCATTGCATAGGAATATCAGTATATTCAGAATAAGTTCTGTAGCATGCCAGGAAGAAAATAAATATGAATTTATTTTATTTATTTATTTATTTATTTATTTATTTATTTATTTATTTATTTATTTATTTATTTATTTATTTATTTATTCATTTATTTATTTATTTATTTTTATTATTATTATTTTTTTTCAATAGAAAAATCAAATTCCCGATGTATATTAAGTATATTTTAAGTTTGAATTAAAAGTCTACGCTTATCAGTGCTGGATAAGTAAGTTTGGTGGATTCTCGTTATTTTTGTAGTGGTTTTATCGATACAAATTGTTACTATTAATATTGAAAGGTGGTATTCACCAGTCATTAAATTTCTTAAAAGCTGTATATTCAAGATTATGACTAAAGCTTAAATTTCACCGAATCATGAGTTTCGCAAAATATTTCTAAAGTCTCATATCAATAATAACAAAAATAACTGAGAGTTTAAAAGGTCAACATTAGATACTTGTTTACTAATTTCAATTTAAAACCTTTTTCCTTAAGAAATTTAATAAATCTATGATCTTTATACAATTTTGAATGAAAAATGTCAAGTGTAGTATTAGAATCAGTTGCTCATGATCCCATATAGAAATAGTCAGATATAAAACTTTGTATTTATAAAAAAAATCCAGCGCTTCGTAAAAATGTACTTTTATTTTGTTTGAAGATTTAACATTAAAGATAAAGTTTCTGTTAATTAATGTACTAATTGTCCGTACTAAAATATTTAGGGGATACTATTATTTAATGTCTAGATGTAAGACGAAATATGAATTCTGAAACATATACTTTACGACGATTATATTGTAATTTTATTGCTGTGGTCCTGACCAGATTAAGATTTACACCTTTAATCATTTTTATCAGTAAGAGATAATTTAAAAGTAATATCTTGGTATATAATCATATGAACTTTTAATAGTTCTGCTCAATTTGGAAACGTTTTACAAAAATAAAGTGTTATTTTTGATGTACATGTATGTGAATGTCATGCTTGTAAATTTTTCTAGTTATATATAAATTGTATTCACGTCGCCAGAGTCCTCGGGTGGGGGATCCACTCTTTCAGCCTAAGAGTGGATTTGGGATCCACTCTTTCAGCTTGAGAGCGGATTTGTGGCAGATTTTTCTCCCCAACTTTGCTATTCTTTGTCATTTATTCAATTGATATGATATTAGTTGATGTAATTTCGTATTAATTATGTATTATTATTTCATATTAAATGTATTGTTTTGCATTTTATGATTTTGAATAAATGACCTTTTTTCGTCAGTTTAGTTTTTATATCATATTGCAAATCAAGCTCAGACTCTGGCCTGTGTATACATAGTATGTTTATGGTATCTAGCTGTCTGTCTTAAAACCAATTTTATTTGCTAATTGAAAATTAAGCTGAATAAAATAATTTAAGACAGCAGAGAAGATAATTATGTTTTAATTGTTTATTACTAAGACTTAAATAAAGAGTGTAGATTTATGATGTCTCTAGTTTGCCCAAAGGGTCAGAGTGTCGTACTTAACAAAACGATAAATTGTTGAAATTAGATAACATGTTTTCACGTGCAGAGAAATTTCACTTTTGACCAGTGCATGATTGGATTACATCTTTCTTATTGGTCAATGATCTTGCGGGGTCAGCACGAGTTCACGTGTAAGTGCGTTGTGGTCACTTCCTTTTATCATCAGCATTTGATGTGTTAACTTGTGATTCTTATCAAACAATTTGTTAAAAATTCCCATCCACATACCTCCCTTAATGTTATCTTTTGAAGTACCACCTTTGCTATTATTTGTCATTTATTCAATTGATATGATATTAGTTGATGTAATTTCGTATTAATTATTTATTATTATTTCATATTAAATATGAACATTTATGTCGAATGTTTTATTTGCAAAATGTATTTTTTGCATTTTATGATTTTGAATAAATGACCTTTTTTCGTCAGTTTAGTTTTTATATCATATAGCAAATCAAGCTCAGACTCTGGCCTGTGTATACATAGTATTTTTATGGTATCTAGCTGTCTGTCTTAAATCTTTGTACTGTTTTTGTAACTTAAATTGAGATTTTTGGACAAATTATGAGTTTTTGTTGTTTGTTATTTCTGCTATTTCTTCATATTTACCAGGATCTGTATACTTCATTGTCCGGATGTAGCGTCATCCAATGATAAGTATTTAACACAAATCGTTGAACTGTGTGACTAATTGATCCATTGAATTTTTTGCTCCTTTTTTCTATTATTTCTATATTTTACAATGAGATTTGTAAATAATGAAAGTATATATTAGATTTAATTGCCCATCATAGTTTGTAATTTGTTGGTATTACCATGCATCTGTGTTTTATATGGCATACTTATAGCCCTATCATAACCTAGCAAAGAATTCAGATCAAACCGATGTATTGGCCGTTTTAAACTTGTAAGTTGCTGTAGGTGTTTGCTCTGTGATGAAGTCCTCACTGAGACTTTCAGATGAGGAACAGCCATGTAAATTAAAAACTGTTTCTTTGCTTTGGGTTTCCAAGTGCGTGTTGGGATTAAGTGTCATGAATAAATATATCATGTAGTCTTAACCATTAAAATAATCTATAATAAAATAATACGGGAATTGTTAATAAAACCAGACGAAAAAGATATTTTTTAACATTAAATGCACACACTGAAATACAATATAAGTACCTTTTTAAAGAAATAATAAGCTGATTATAAGACTAACTCTGAAAAATCGACGCACATTTGCAAAAATTGAAACTTATAATTGAAAATTAAAAGTATCAGAATATACTTATTGTGTTTGAAATCATTTTTGTTGTATACATATCTATATTCTATGCATATAAATAGAACGTTTCAATATGTTAATGATCTATCAATTGCGTAATCCGTTCATCGTTCATATGGTATTTTCTCGTAAAAACTTGAAATACAACATATATTTTGATTCGAGCGTCACTGATGAGACTTTTGTAGACAATACGCGCGTCTGGCGTACACAATTCTAATCCTGGTATCTATGATGAATTTATTTACCAAGGAGTTTTAAAAGAAAATCTAACTTGTACATTATGCTGAAAAACTTAAATCAGACACAAAAAACGAAGGTAAACAATATCAAAAGGGTTAAAGTTCAACTTGGGACAATATTCTTCAGGTTTCATTCTCCTTTACAATGAAATGATTATGATTCAATAAATGATACTCTTATACAAGCCTGTTGCATGTTACTATTCGATGACCATGAGAATGAAATGTCTCAAAATATACCAGTAATGGATTCTCGAAAATGTGATAGTCTATTCTAATACAATTAAGTATGTAAAAATCTCTATTTATACAAAGTGGGCCTAAGATGGATTTGGCCATTTTTTATGTCCTTTTTGGTTTATAGCTCGGCAACGTTTTCGGTCCTTATACATCCTTGACTTTCAAATATTCGGCTTTGAGCGTTCCTGTTGAAGGTAAACCCAGAAAAGCGCTTCGTACGCATCAAATTTATAACGTGTTGTTTTCATTTTATTATATGAGAACAAAATGTATTAATTGAAAGAAACATTTGTCTACACCTTTTTGTTTATACCTCTACTGGTGGACTATCAGTCCCAGAGGGTATCATCAGCTCAGTAGTCAGTACTTCGGTACTGACATGATTTATAACAAACTATCTAAAAATTGCCCGTTTATAAATTTTGAAATTATACTGAATCTAAGGTTTCAACTCCCTCAGGCAAACTTGGCCTAAGATGGATTTGGCTATTTTTATGTCCTTTTTGGTTTATAGCTCGGTAACGTTTTCGGTCCTTATACATCCTTGACTTTCAGATATTCGGCTTTGAGCGTTCCTTATGAAGGTTAATCCAGAAAAGCGCTTCGGACTCATCAAATTTATAACGTGTTGTTTTCATTTTATTATATGAGAACAAAATGTATTAATTGAAAGAAACATTTGTCAATACTTATTCAGAGGATATAAAATCTTCTTTGTATTTCCCTGTATGTCCTGATAATAAAAAATCAGAAATAAGAAGAAGGGGAGACAAAAATTCACAGGTTGAATTAGGCAGATAACACTCTTGCAAACAGAAAAAAAATGGAAAGATCAATGCAACAAACTTTGAGCCCCACTGGTTAACCTAAGGTGCTTTGGGAGAGTAACTTACCACCAAGCCTTCTGATCATATACTGATTCTCAGAAAAACTTGAAACTGTAGCCAATCTTCCTCCCCATGTCTTACAAAACTCCTGCAAATATTAAAATGTGGAATGAAAAAAGCATGAAAATGTCACAGTTATGGCCCTTGATTTCGTTTATTTTAAGATACTATTAATCTTTTACATAAACTTGCCCGTTAGATGTTTTTTATATTGTTGTTTTTGTCGTTGGTTTGTTTGTGTCGTTACCATTTAATCATATACAGATGTCAAAAGTAAAGTAACAAAAACACCGAACTCCAAGGAAAATTAAAAACGGAAAGTTCCTGATCAAATGGCAAAATCAAATTTAAAGCTCAAACACATCAAACGAAGGAAAAAAACTGTCCTATTCCTGACTTGGTACAGGCATTTCCTTATGTAGAAAATAGTGGATTAAACCTGGTTTGATAGCTAGCTTAACCTCTCAATTGTATGACAGTGTTTGATCTTTTGATTTTGCTATTTCCGTTTTGGTTTTTTTTCCATCTTCAAAACTCTCATCATAATTTAGTTTGGAGAAACAAACAACCAAATATCCTAAACCGGTTTGTGAAGAGCACAATTATAAAATAAATTGTACGATGCCGAATCAAAATTAATGCGTTTTATCCGTATTTCAGTGATGCTGGAAAACAAAATGTGTGAACAAAACAAACAGACATAATAAGTAAGACTGTCAAAAATTGGGGTACAGCAGTTAACATTGTGTTATAATCTTAATCACTATAAAACCAAACAACAAAGAAAAACAAAATGGCATATAGACAAAGAGACATTATTCTGTCAAATATCGATAAAAGTGGAGTGACATTTATCATAGAATATGATTTTTAATAACAAACAAAACAAAAAAAAACAAATACTTTATTTGCCAATCACGGCGCCCAAAATGAGCAAAATAATTACATTATAATTTTTAAACATAATATTCAAGTAAATTAAAAATATATAACATGATCGGTTTTGATTTAATTGATTAACATATGATATCAAAGTAAATGAAAACAGTAATTTGTAATAATAAAAATATATAATATGACCCATTGTTTATTATTTTGTACCCTTTATTAGACAGCACACCTCATAGTATAATCACAATTAATTAAATGTGAATAACGACTGACGTAAATGCATATATGATCATATATATATATATTGTTACGGCCAGAAATCACCTTTGAATTGTAGCCAACAAAAGACACAAATCAATAATAAAATTTAACATGATTTATTATACACAAGTTTACAAGAAGTATTACACAATTAGAAATGTCAAAATATATGTCCGATCTTTTGTCTTTTCTCTATCCGGAATTATTCTCTTCACTGTTGCGTGAATACAAACAGAATATTATGTCCCTTAAGTCACAATCTAGTATGATGTAGTTAACGTAAATAAACGTGTCAACCCAATTGAAAGAACTTCTGAGAATACCAGTTTATCAATGTCTAATCTGAAAGTCTAACATTAGTGTCTGTATATATATAGTTGTCACGGAAATCTCTAGAACACTGTAGAAGAGAAACTCCTAGAAAACTTAATAGAACGGAAACTTCTTGAATATGATAGAAGTTTAAATTACACATCGTAGATTATGATCATTTCAGAATTATTATGTAAGTCAAATAGAAAGTTCTAATCATTCCATCAGTATCTATGATTGTTCAGTGATTTCTAAACTGCACAGTTGTAAACAACTATAAGTATTATGTAAACATATTATACATGTTATAAGGCCACACAAAGCAAATTAAGCCAAGATAAATAAGTATAATAATTACAATATCATAACGTCTCCCCCCTTATAAAAGTTTGAGTGTTACAAGAACTGTTCATAAACAATATATATTCAAAAATACATATTATGTATACAGTGTTTGAATAAGATTTAGATAAAGCATCTGCTATTATATTATCTTTATCTGTTTTACAATAACATCATATTCCTGTAACAATAAACTCCACCTAGTCAACCTCTGGTTCTTGTTTCTCATTTTATGTATGAAGGTGAGAGGATTATGATCAGTATAAACTTGCGTCAACGGCAAGTTTGAATTGTTTCTCGAAGTCTGGAGTGATCAGGACTGTTACTTAAAAATGATTTGCTGTTTTCAAAAGCATTTTGACAATTATCACTCCATATGAATTTAGAATCTTTCCATAAAAGCTGAGTCAATGGTTGAACAACAGTAGAAAATTTGAACAGAATTTCATGTAAAATCCAATCATGCCTAAATATCTCATAATTTTTTTTTATGTGTAGGAGGAGGAAATTTGGTAATTGCATCCACTTTAGCCATAATAAGTTTCACTTGACCATGGCCAACCTTATGCCCTAAATAATCAACAGTGGCCTTACAAATTTCACTTTTACCAAGATTAACAGTCAAATTTGATTGTGACAATCTATCAAAAGTATCCTATAAATGTGTTAAATGCTCTTTCCAGCTATCACTACATACAATAAGATCATCAATATAAGCATAACAACAGTCTAAATCTTTTATAACATTATTGATCATTCTTTGATATGTAGCTGGAACACTTTTCATACCAAACGGCTTGACAGTATACTGATGTGACAAAAGCTGATATTTCACGAGCTCTCTGTGTCAAGGGTACCTGCCAGTAACCTTTCAATAAATTAAATTTGCTCACATATTTTCTTGTCCAATGATATCAATGCAGTCGTCTATCCTTGGAATCGGATAGAAATCAGACTTTAAACCTGAATTTACTTTTCTAAAATAAGTTACGAAACGAAAGGTTTTATCTGGTTTGGGCAAAAGGAGACAAGGAGAGCTCCATTCACTGTTACTCGACTCAATAATATCATTGTCAAGCATATATCTAATTTCTTGTCTCAAGTTTAAATGGATTGAGACGGTAAGGATTTTGCTTAATTGGAAAAGCATCACCTACATCGACATCATGACAAACAGCAGTGGTTTTATTTGGCACATCTGGAAAAAGATTTTTAAAAGAAAATACCAAAGTTTTCAATTTTTCTCTGATATCGAAAGTCAGGTGTTCAAGTTTTGAGTCTAAATTTTACAAAATTTCTGTATTTTTCAATCTTACTGTTTGTTCCATAGTCTTTGAATCAAAAGATGGTTCAATTATATCTTGTTTGTCATGATCATTCTCCAAGTTAACAATTACTAAAGTGGCAACTGGTTTACTCTCACCTTCATTAGTACGCTCAAAAAATGGTTTTAACATATTAATATGACACTATATTTTGTTTGCGCCGACCTGGAGTTTTACAATATAACGAGATGTATAGAGACACACACACGTTTATTTTTATCTATAAAGAAGTCACTCCTAACTATCCTACTACCTGTCGATACATTTATTTTTTGCATTGCACAAGGCATGTCTTCTTTGACTGTTCATGACGTTAAAATACTAAATCCCTAGGATGTATTTTAGTTGATTTTAGTCTCTGATGCATGATTTTTTATTATTAATTGTTTTGGCTTTTAACTAGCTGTCAGTAACTGCGAGTACTCTCAAATCGTACTTTCTTTTTAATTTGACCTGTTGATACTATTTGTAATGCTTTTTTGTTATTTAATGTTAACATGGATCTTGTCTATATACCAGCTTTGATTATTTGGTATCACTACATATTTTCACTTCTTCGTACTATGAACATCAAAATTATATCATTTTTTCTTAGATGCTGTTCTTGGACCTGTACAGGAAGTTTTATCTAGCACTAATTGTATAGTTTTATTGTTGATATTCACCCCATATGTACCAAGTGTTAGATTAGTTTTATTGATATCAAAGAAATTTCTTGGTATTCCTAAACGGAAGATTTTATACACACAGTAGAAGAAGTATAGTTAACAACAAAATTATTTTCATTTACCTGTGTATAATATGACGCAGGTTTCTTTAAAAGTGATGATATTCTAAAAATTATTTGACATTTCACAGTGATATCATACTTTAACTTTGTTTAAACCTGTTTATTTACTTTTGACTTTAATTATTTATCCCTGGTAATTTTTTATTAACTGTGTATTTGCATTCAGGTGTCATAGATCAAATTTATTCGTTCATTGTGTGTTTATTTACGTTTTTGGATTGAGTTAAGCCTTCCAATTGATATTTTATAGTGTGTTTTCTATGTTGTGATGTTATACTAATGTTTTAGAAAAGGGAGAAGGTTTGGTACCATTAAAAGGTTTAATCCCGCTGCAAATGTGTGCACCTGTCCTAAGTCAGGAATCTGATTAAAGTAGTTGTCGTCTGTTTATGTAGTTCATACGTGTTTCTCGTTTCTCGTTTTTATATAGATTAGACCGTTGGTTTTTCCGTTTGAATGGTTTTACACTAGTAATTTTTTGGGGCCCTTTATAGCTTGCTGTTCGGTGTGAGCCAGTGCTCTGTGTTGAAGGCCGTACCTTGACCTATAATGGTTTACTTTTATAAATTGCAACTTGGATGGAGAGTTGTCTCATTGGCACTCATACCACATCTTCCTATATCTATTTGACAATAGCTGGTGTCTTGATTTTCTTTAGCGGAATAGCCTCAGGAAAGCGAGTGGATGTACACATGATCGTCAATAAATACGCATTTCCAGTCTTGGTCTTTGGTAAAGGTCTAACGCAGTAAATTAGTATTCTGCTGAAATGTTCTTTAAAGTCTGGAATTGGCAGAAGTTGTGCTGGTGGTATTTTGTGGTTAGGCTTACCAACAACCTGGCATATATGGCATTATTTGCAGTATTCCGTGACATCATTTCTAAGTCTGTGCCAGTATAAATGCTGCAAGATCTTAAGGCAAATCTTCCTTATACCTAAGCGTTCGGCCAAGGGCTGTCATCGGCAAGACCAATAATTTCTTGCCTATAGACTTTAGGCACCACCACTTAGTATACCACTCTCAATTCCTCCTCTGGGATAGCAGCAGGGGGCCTCCACTTCCTCATTAAAATGCTGTCTTGATGGAAATAGCATTCGGCCACTTTATCTGCTTCCTCTTGTGGTTGAGCCCACTTGCGGAGCTGAAGAACCCCAGGGTCTTTATT